GGGCTATCCGGACTTAGACTTGTTCGCCACTTGGGACAACAGAGTGTGTTCCCTGTACTGTTCCAGGGCGGGCATAGGATTGGGATCGATGGGAGATGCTCTTATGATGCCCTGGGACAACATAGCCTTTTATGCATTTCCTCCAATCCCACTTCTAATGAAAGTGGTAGCGAAAATATCTAAAGAGAATGCCACGGGAATAATAATAACTCCATGGTGGCCGAGACAACCGTGGTTCGCCACCCTTCTACGTCTGTCCAAAGGAACGTTTCTTCGCCTCCCATCTGTTCCTCAGCTATTAATGCAGCAAAATGGAGCGGTCCGACATCTAGATCTGACTGCCTTGAGGTTGACGGCATGGCGGATCACGAGTCATTCCGCTGCATCGGGACCGACGACATCCCAACCGCTAGCGGACTGTATTCACTGCACTGTACCAACGGCCCCTAAGTTGGTTTCGACGGTAACCGCTTTGCTACCGACGACTGTTGATCAAGAAATTCAGGCGATTCTTACATCTGCTTTAAGACCGTCCACTCGTTGCTCTTATGCGGCTAAATGGAAGAGATTCTCTTCCTTTGCAGAACGCCATTCTTTTTCTCCTGGAATGGCCTCAATTGACAATATTTTGCAATTTCTCCTGGAGCTCTATCACTTGGGACTGAAACCGTCATCCATTGAAGTTTATGCAGCTGCCATTTCACACTGTCGTGGTGCGGTTCAAGGGGTATCAGTTTTCTCTCAACCTCTGCTTCGACATTTTCTTCGGGGGTTACAGAACTTACACCCTTCTATTCGCCCAGCTATGCCAACGTGGAGCCTTTCAGTCGTACTCCAAGCACTTACCAAACCTCTGTTCGAGCCGCTGGCTTTCTGCTCTCCACATAGACCCCCTCCCCCATATCTTAATTTCCATAAGGAAAAGGTCATTCTTCGTATGGACTCTTCGTTTCTTCCTAAAGTGGCTACACCATTCCAGTTGAGTCAAGATATTGTTCTGCCAACGTTCTGTCCAGTGCCGTCGAATCCAGTAGAGCGGGCTCTGCACACCCTTGATGTCGCCGCTGCTTGGCTTTCTATTGCTCCCGTATGGAATCCTTCTGTTGCACGAATAGACTCCTTGTTAAGTACTCCGAACATGACAAAGGACTGCCAGTCACACCTCAACGGCTGTCGCACTGGATCACCCAGACTATTGTCTTGGCCTATCAACTATCAAAAATAGACTTACCTGTTACCCCGAGGGGTCACTCTACACGAGCTGTTGCGACTTCGTCCACCTTTGCTGCAGGGGTTCCGCTTCAAGATATCTGTAAAGCTGCAGCGTGGGCAGGGCCATGCACTTTCACCAAGCACTATCTGCTTGATGTGCGCGCCAGGCAGGACTGCTCTTTTGGCAGGGCTGTTCTTTCATCTGTTCTTCGTTGACGACACCTCCCTCCTCCGAGTTGGGTAAGCTTGCTAATCACCCATATGTGTGATGCACAGAGGCCACGACGAAGAAAGGCAGATTGCTTACCTGTAATTGATGTTCTTCGAGTGGCCATCTGTGCAGTCACACAACCCACCCACCGACCCCACTCGGTGTCGATGAGCAGATACTGCTTTTCGGTACCGTACTGTAATTTGCATCGGTACCGTTGGGGTACAATGCTGTTTGGCATTAATTTTATTCTTAACCTGTAGAGGGCAAACGTTCAGTCTTCAAGACTGAACAAAATGGTGGACACTCCGCTCTATTTATACCACGAAGGGGGAGGGGAGTGGAGTTTTCCCGCCAAAAACCGTTAGCTTTTTAATCTTCCTGCCTAGGCACTGCGCAGGCGCAGCACCCATATGTGTGACTGCACAGATGGCCACTCGAAGAACATCAGTTACAGGTAAGCAACCTGCCTTTCTTAAATTAAGACTACAATGAATTTTGCTACATCAACTGATGCTTTCTTTCACAAAAGATTTCTCCATGGCATGCAATGCTGTTTGATAGCATTTTACTTACCTACCTTCTTTCAAAGTTTGAGTAAATTCTCTCAAATCCTGCCCCTACTTTATCAACTAAGTTTATGTAACATTCTAAATACTTTCTTGTCATTTCAACAATCTTCACAGTATCTTCACCAGGAGTAGATTCAGTCTCAAGAAACCGCTTTCTTTGCTCATCCGTAAGAAGCAACACCCCATCTGTTAAAGTGTTACCATGAGATTGCAGCACTTCTAATTTCAGTTCTTTGGCTATTTCCACCACATCTGCAGTTACTTCTTCCACTGATGTCTCAAACCCCTCAAAGTCATCCATGAGAGTTGGAATCAGCATCTTCCAAATTCCTGTTAATGTTGATATGTTGACCTCTTACCATGAACCATGAATGTTCTTAATGGCACCTATAATGGTGAATCCTTTCCCAAAGATTTTCAATTTTCTTTGCCCAGATCCATCAGAGGAATCAATATCCATGGCAGTATTGCCTTATGAAATGTATCTCTTAAATACTAAGACTTGAAAGTCAAAATTACTCCTTGGTCCATGGGCTGTAGAATCGGTGTTGTGTTAGCAGACAAACTGGACAGCCATCTGAGTAGGATGGTGTAACTTGGTGTCCTGCAGCAGCAGGGGGGTGGACCCGATGGCCTTCATGGCCCCTTCCAACTCTAGTATTCTATGAAATCATCATAAATCTTGTTGTACCTTTCCATTGGAGCTCTTGGGTGACTTTTGCCAATATTTTGAAAGGCATCTTTTTTTTCCTGAACAGCAGGTCTCAACAGTGGCCTTAAAATGTTCAGTAAGCCATATCATCCAGGCTTTGTTGTTCCATTTATGGAGCACAGGCAGCGTAGCTTTAGCATAATTCTTAAGGGCCTGAGGATTTTTGGATGGTAAATGGGCATTGGCTTCCACTTAAAGTCACCAGCTGCATTTAACCCCTATCAAAAGTGTCAGCCTGTCTTTTGAAGTCAGGCACCGACTTCTCCTCTCTAGCTATGAAAGTGCTAGATAGCATCTTCTTCAAATATAAGGCTGTTTTGTCTGCATTGGAAAATCTGCTGCTAAGTGTAGCCACCTTCATTAATTATGTTCTGGATAACTTGCTGCAGCTTCTATATCAGCACTTATGCTTCACCTTGCACTGTTATGTTACGGAGATGGCTTCTTTCCCTAAACCTCATGAACCAATCTCTGCTAGCTTCAAACTTTTCTTTTGCAGCTTCCTCACCCCTCTCAGCCTTCCCAGAATTGAAGGGAGTTAAAGCCTTGCTCTGGATTAGGCTATGGCTTAAGGGAATGCTGTGGCTGGCTTGATCTTCTATCCAGACCACTGAAACATTCTCCATTTCAGCAATAAGGCCATTTCACTTTCTTATCATTCATGTGTTCCCTGGAGTAGCACTTCTAATTTCCTTCAAGAACTCTTCCTTTGCATGTACAACTTGGCTAACTGTGTTGCAAGAGGCCTAGCTTTTGGCCTAGCTCAGCTTTCAACATGCCTTTCTCAGTAAGCTTAACCATTTCTAGTTTTTGATTTAAAGAGACACACACCTCTTCCTTTTACTTGAATACTTAGATGCCATTGTAGAGTTATTAATTGGCATGATTTCAATATTGTGTCAGGGAATAGGGAGGCTGGAGGAGAGGAAGAGAGACAGGGCAATGCCAGTCAGTGGAGCAGCCAGAACATGCACGACATTTATCGATTAGATTGCCCTCCTCTATGGGCACAATTTGTGGCACCCCAAAACAATTACAACAGTAACATTGAAGATCACAGGTCACCATAACAGATATAATAATACTGAAAAAGTTTGAGATACTGTGAGAATTACCAAAACATGACACAGAGACACAAAGTGAGCAAATGCTGTTGGAAAAATGGCACTGATAGGTTTGTAAAAAATGCAATATCTGCAAAGCACGATAAAGTGAAGTGCAATAAACAAGCTACGCTTGTCATCAGACGTGGTTGACCCTTGCCTCCTCCTGTGCAGCACTAACCCAGGTTAGCTCACGCATCACTGCCATTGTTTGCGAAAGATGCTGGTGCCACCTTCAGCTACCAGTGCTGCTCAGTAGCTGCCCTTCAGGAGTTCTCCACCCACATCACCACAGTCACCATTAGCATCGTCACCCTGTCCACATGTTTATCCACACTCTCAAAGAACCCTGAAAGGTTTGCCTTTGCGCAAGTAGTGCTGATTATTTTTCAGCAACATTTGTCCTTCCACATGCTATTGATGTGATATGTCATAACACTTTGAATCAGGTTATCTTAAACAGGCATTAAGTTAACTGACGTGTAAATTCCTGGATCCCCCTAAATCTCCTTTAGAAAATTGGCTCTACATTGGCCATTCTCATTGAGGCCTATTTTAGGGACATGTTATGTATTTTTGTTAGAAGATCAGCAAGTTCACCTTTCAGTCCTTTTCTGATGGATACATCTTCACCTGGAGATTTTAGGATTGGTTGAAGGGCATGTATCAACTGGTACCAATGGAATTGCCACTCCCAGAACGAATATTGCTTTGAGTGTAGGGTTTACAGGGGGGCTTCTTGGGTCCCCTGTGGCTGCTTGTTGTTAAATGAAAGAAACAAGACAGGATGGATGGATGGATGATAAATATTCATCCTCTTCTGCTGATGTATCCATTATGCCTTCAGAGGGTGGATGCATCGTAGTCTCGTGTCTCTGCTTTGAGCATTCTACCTTGAGTGATCCTGCTAGGAGACCAACCTTCTGAGAGAGTTTGGCCTCCTGGTGGCCTTGCTCTTGGCTTCTCGGACGCTCTCAAACTCACCACACTTGGTGTACATCCAAGTAATGGGTTCTTTCATTACCCCCCCCAAGAGCTCTTTTAAAGTAAGGGCAGTCTTACTTATGTGCACTCAGAATTAATTTCCTAGGAAATTCAGCCCCATTTTATGCCATACATTTTTCAGAGATTTTAATTGTGAAATATTGCATTTACTTAATTCTGAACCTTTTAAATGATTTTTCCCATAGGATGGTACCAAAGTAAGAGGGAAATGTGGTGGCTACTGTGGAAAATGTACTCCATCATCTGGAACTGGTCTTGATGTCCAGGTGTTGTAGCAATGGTATGTTTGTGCGTTTTACTGTTGTACAAGCACAGTATTTGAAGATCAGTAGCAACAATTTGATATTCAATCCAGTATATATTTTCTTGCAATTAATTCCCACTCCTTTCAGTAAATGCAGTCTCATAGCCCAACACTGTGATGCATTCAGCTACCAACTGGCAAGTGGGTTTATGGTCAAATTCTAGCATATTGACATAATTAGGGCTAGCAAAATAGGACAGGACAACCAATATTCCTGTGCAGCCAACCCAGAAGATAAAAATGCAATTTGCTCCGCACTCTCAGAAAGAGGCAGGCAGATATCTTCACAGCACAGCATCCTGGTAAGTGAAAAGCTTCTGTGCTCAAAGGAAAGCTGGTACAACTTTGCACTGTCTGCTTTCTTGTGTGCAGGAATGCTGCTTTTATTACAGGTGTGTGCAATGGCATTGCCAGGCTCCCATCATGCACGAGTCCTTGGGCTTCATGTACACGGCTGGCTGGAAATAACCCACACCAATGAGAACTGCATGTATATAGATTTCTAAGTGGGAATACATCTATCTATCTATCTATCTATCTATCTATCTATCTATTTATTTTATTAAAACATTTCTATGCCGCCCCATTCGCCGAAGCCTCAGGGCGGCTCACAACATATTTCCACCACTTTGGTGGCTCCGAAGTTTCCCAGGAATTTGTGGGGAATAGCTGCCCAATATTTTCAATTCAGTTACCAGTATACAGCACCCAAAGTAATTCTTTGATGGCACCAAGAATTATTTTACCCTTGGGAGTGTTACTGTGGGGGCATAGGGTGTCTTTGAACTGTATGTCTGTTTTTCTGGTGAAGGAATGGGCTGGGCCTTCTCTTTTCAGCACAGAAATTGAGAGAACTCTCCATTGTGTTTTTGATTCCCAGGAATTTTGAATGCCGGGAGCTGAAGCAAGATGGATGAAGGATAATGAAGCAATACCTCTTCCTTCCACTTTTGTACTTCTTCCTGTGTGTGTGCATCTAAAAGTGTGTGTGCGTGCGTGTGTGCGTGCATGTATGTATATGTTTGTTTTTATATATATATATATATATGTATATTGTATATTCTTAATGTTGTAAAGTATAATATTTATGTCTGGAATTATTTATTTTTGATTTAATATTTTTGTACGTAAAATGTTTATATTAAGGCTGCTTATCATGTTGTGTGTGTATGTGTGTGTTAAACCTTGCAGTCACACCACTGCATTTTACGTACTCTACATTATATGTAGCACTATGACAAAAGTGATGCTTTTATTGTCACTGTACTCAATTGTTTACCTTCGATCAGTAATTTTTCTTCTTGTTACAGCCTGCACTGATCTTTTCAAGGTGCTAAATGGTTTGCATCGGGGTATTTTTGGCATTTTAGAACTATCTTTATCTTCTGAGGAAAAATGTGATTGTCATTTTTTAAATTCATACGGCAATCGGTGCTATGCAGGGACTCAGTGAACACACGTTATGATGACATGGATTCTTCAGTAGTTTGCCTTTCATATTTTTAAGGGTGCATGACGTCCTCGTGGCAGTGGCATCCTAACCACTGGTCTGGTGCTAACATGGTAGTATTTATTAATCTCCTTTAAGTTGTAAAAACTCAATCCTGTGCAGCTTTACATTGCAATGGGAGATGAGTAAGTGAATTTAGGCAAATGGAGAGTGAGTTCAAACATTTAGTTTAAGGCAGAAATTCTTAAGTTGCATTCCAGGAAATCCCAGAGTTCCTCAAACGTTCATGAAGGGTTCCTTACAAGAAAAGAAAAGAAATGTGCCTGCAGTGCTGTGCTTTAAGTATGCAGCCTCAGGGAACTGCTGGTATATTCCAGGGCATCCACTCTTGTTGCAGGAGGCAAGAGCAGCTGCTTCTGTTCCTGGGGCACCAACTCCATCCAAACAATCTGTGCACCTGAGAAACTCTCCTGGGAACCCTTGGTAAGGCACCAGAGGTCTGCCATCTTTCATTGTCACATAGTTACATGCCATCAAGCATCTTTGGCTTGTGAGGAACCTGCAGATGAGCATCCTCCAAAATGTCCCATCCCTTACAGCCCTGCTCCGCTCTTGTAAACTCAAGGCTGTGGCTTCCTTTATGGACTTGAGCCATCTCATATTTGGTCTTCCACAGTTTCTGCCTTGGACTTTGCCTGGCATTCTCAGCTGAGTGCTAAGGAAATACTTCCCTGAAGTGAAAGGATTGAAATCATCGGTTTCAGGGATAGGTGGTGGTAGGCAGTTAGTAGCTAGAAGTATGCATCCAGTCTAGCCGAATCTGTAGTCACATTGGGCTGCTTGTGCTTTTCCATATATAGAGAACACCAGGGTGTGACGAAAGAGGAGTGGAATGACTGATTGGTCTAATCATTGGGAATGAGTGTCTAGGGACTTTTCGATCACAGGGACTGCAGGGAGGGATTTGAGGTTTACAGAATCTTTTGCTCAAGTCTGCTCTCTGTTCCGTTGCTATTTTGCACTGTCCTTTTAATATACAGATTTATGTTTATAGATTGATTTGCAAGGACTCCTGAATTCCCTCATTCCATGCAAGAAAGCAGCCATTCCATGCATAATGGAATTTTTAAAAATCACATATTGCAAAATAGGAACTAAAATAAACCATGGCCAAACCATCGCACTCATTTCTGATGTGTTGCAGTAGAAAATGTGGCTGTTTAAATGTTCCCATATTTTGGGTCTCCTTGCTGTATCACAGTTTGTATGTCCATTATAGATAGGATAAATTTGGGGTAGAAAATTACCTTCCCCTTTTTTAAAAAATGTAGAAATAAATAGCTTATGTTTGCTAGAATGAATAATGCACAGTTTCATTTCCATGGTAGACAAGTCTTCTGTTCTGTGCTGTAGGTCGTGTTTAGAGGGGGGCACAGTTGCTAGATTTCATTCCAAAAATAATACAGAAGAACCAGAATGTTCACCTCTGTAATACTGAAATAGGTTGAGGCTCAGGTCTTTTGCCAAACAAACCAGCTGCACAGGTTTTACTGATGTTACAGGTTGTGCTGAGCACATGCCTTGGTGTGGATTAACCTGAAAAAGACAGTTAGCAAGGTTCAGGAGAATCAAAGCCTTAACTTCATTGAGAGACCCTGTACCTCGCTGTCTTGCTTATCTTTCCACAGTAAGCATATTTGTCTGCAAGACTTCCATCTTGCCCTATTTCTGTTCATTTCATACCTCACAAAGTCCCAAGAGACCACTACATAATGAGCACAATTACTTCCACACAACTACCATTGGATGGGCAGCTTTTCTGCAGACAAGGTTAGAATTTCCCTAGCACTACTGAAAACAGTAAATACAGAAGATAAATAGAGTAAGGGTAGGTCAAATTTATAATACAAATGGATTTAAAAAGGAAAAACCGCTACCACATTCAGTGTATAATTTTATCCCACTATCCTGTAGTTACAAAGCAGCCCAGCAGTTTAGGTCATGCTTTGTATTCGCATCCCATTTCCTGGTGTTCCCTTTTAAATGCATCTGGGGAAGTTCTCTGTTTGGAGAGCTGGTGCCAGTCAGAGTAGACCATTTTGGTCCAGGTAGACCAGTAGTTTTAGCGTAGAGCAGTTTATATATCTTCATGCAGAGATCTCAAGAAGTTTATAGCTTTCTGTTTCAGGAAATGCCATAGTGCAGTAGTAATGTGCATGCTTTGCATACTGAGGATTTAGGGACCCTTGACTTAACTCCAGCCTTGCACTACTGGAAATCCCTAGTGTGGCAGCACTTCCACCTTTGCACCTCCTCTCTGCAGCCATGCTCTGGATGCTTCCCAGTCCCTCCGAAACACATGTTGAAGAAGCGCATGGGTGCTGTGAGATGGGAGGAGAGGTGGAAGGGGGATCATCCTCTTCTCATCCATCAGTGGGATGACACGACTGGATTCTTATGTTCACTCCCATTATCTAAATTCACGTCTATCTAAAGGGTTTTGCTTTTTTGCCCTTCAGATTAATTAGGCTGCACTTCATTTGGCTCCACAGGTAGTCATGTTATTCTCTACATAAGGTCTCTTACCCCACATCTCACATGAACTGAATAAATTCATATCTCAGGCAGACTTAAGATATTAAGAATGTTTTAAACCGATTAAAAAATGCTGTATACTTTTTTTGACAAAATGCCAAAAATACCATTTCATTCTATGAAAAACACTAGTAGTTTAAAAAAGTAGTGATTTTTTTTTTTAAAGTGATTACCATTCATCCTTAAGAATTATCTGTAGGGAAAAGGGAAAATTGCACTATAAGCATTAGGACAGAACCATGGTGCTTAGAAAATGGCAATCTGCTTTTTATTTTCAGTAATGAAGTGTATTTATATAAAGAATTATTATTAAAAATCTATACATTCCTTTATACCAGGTAGTATCACAACGGCCGTCACTAGCTCAAAAATGAAACCTTAAAATTATGAAATGAAATGTAAGGACATTATTGGTGACTAATTTTTAATGTAACTGGTGGGTTGTTTTCCAAAGGAGGGCCACTCAATGAGTGGACGGTTCTTGTAAAGTACATATATAGTCATTGTTCTCTTGTACCAGTGCCATTATTTTTATGAAAACAAGTAACTTTTGCAAGCCTCTTTGTTGTGATGCTTTCTTTCATCTTTCCTCTTGGACTGTCAAAAAGACAAACTGTGGCTTATACCTTTCTGTGATATTTCTGTTTCCCAGCATCCTCCTTTATTGCCTATGGGTCTTCAAAGAATACTGTCCAATGTTTCAATGGCAGGAGGGTGTTGGAGCATTGGGATAGAACTGGATAGACTTGGGAGGAAAAGGAACAGAAATAAAACACAGGACAGGTATGGTTACCTGACCCAGAGGTAGTGCATACCCAAGTACTTCACTTCTGGATTGGGACAGAACTGCTACGGAAACAGGCAGCGTTAGTTTTTCAGCTCAGTTCCAGATTACAAGAGTAGTGATACCTTGGACTAATCCTCTACCACCTGTGGTGACCTGGTGCCTACAGGTGATCCCACCTGAGGTCACAAGGTCTGGCTCAGTGGCATCGACTGGTACTGGCTGCCACCCCGGAAGGTGAAACAGACTCAGTCTCTTCCACTCCCAAGCATTATCAGCTCCTTGGGAATGAGTGGCCCAGGATTCCACTCGGGCCCTTTGTGCTGGGCTTCTTTGCAGGCCACCGGTGCCCTCAGGGGAGCACAGCCAGACTGCTGCAGGCAGCCTGGGCACTGAAACAGCACACTATGACCCAAAAACATGGTGCACCTCTCGCATGCCTTCTCTTTCACTCCCAGAACACACAATTGGGGCTTTGGTGGAAACAGGGTAAACGATTTATTGAGGATTTGGGAAAAGTACAGAATGGGGAAAGGGTTGATCAGATTCTGAGCGCCAAATAATAAACAGTTCAAAATGGAAGATTAATGGCAAAAAATAAAATACAGTCTAGATTGCACAGCCCTGTTTGGCCTGCCTACCAGTTCCTTGATCATGCAGTAAGACTATGGTAAGATTTTTTCGTAAATATGTCAGGTCTTCCTCCCTTTGGGGAAAAACTACCTGTAGCGAAGCAACCTTGGTGCAACCTCCCCATGTGCTCCCCTGCTTCTCATGAAGCACCTGTGCTTGAAGAAGACCACCAACTTCATTTTCCAGTAGAGTGTCTCTCCTCTGGGCCCTCTCTCTGTGCTATCGTGGGGATTCCAGAATAAAATCTTGTTTTGTCTGCTGACTGTTCAGTAATGGATCACCCTCAGCTCTGAGATGGATTCTAGATGTTTCCTTTAAAAAGAGAGAGAGATTATACTTGGCAGTTTAGTATTCAGTAACTTGGCCAAGTAGCAGCGCTTGGCCTAGAGTTTACCTCAGGTCATCTGCTTTGCACCCACATTGCGTCAGGTGGCCTGGCCTTTTGCTTAAGCAGAGAGCTGCAGCCAATTGCAAAAGGGATGTTTCTGGTAGTTGGCCTTGCGTAAGATGGAGTCAGTATTGGTCTGGTTGAGAGGGCCACTCCAACCTAACCATAACAACCAGGCTAACCTTCATAGGACTTGGGTTGACAACTCACACAAGCTTTACCAGAGTAAAGCCTTGAAAAATGAACTGTGCTTTGCCCTACACAGAACTCAACTCTGGGATTCAGCAGCCATTTTACTTGGTAAAAAACACTTAGTAAAGCAGTGTCTCTGGATGTACAAAGTTTCTAGAGGTGGTTCATTAGGAAAGGTGGTTCCAAAGGAAAGTGAAAAGGTAACTCTGGCTCAGGGAAAATGTGGACTTGGCACCAAATAGAATAAGCAATCATATTAGTAAACGAGTCATAGCCAACAGAACTCCATTGAATTTTCAGAGCTGAGACACACCAGGACAAAGGATGTCCAAACAGAATCACCACAGTTCCTTGAACTCCTAGCCAGCATACAGTTCCACATAAAGATTACAAAAGCTTCGATTTTGTCAGACCTGGACCTATGATGGACTGAAACACAGGTGTGGTTCCAACTACTGAATAATGGGCTCAGGAAATCTTACTCCTTGATTACTTTTACATTCAACTCGCCTATTCATAGTAACTGTAACTTCTGCAGAAGAGAGGATATTGACAAGTATAGCTCGATATGCAAGAGTTAGCAGGAAATGTCACGTTGTCAATGCACTTATTAAAGGCATAGATCCCGAGCTCTTCTTTGCCTCTGCTAGTCCTAATAAACTGTTGCCCCCAGTACTTCTGTAGCACTAATGGTGAAATGTAAAGGGCAGCGGGCTTAGTAAGAACACAAAGCTGGTGTTGCAGAGAGACAGTGGATTTTGGTGGCATGTGACAAAGGATGAAGATGCAGGCTATTGCTGAAAATACGGGGAGGGTAGTGAATTTCAGTCTCAAAAGTGTGAAACTAACTACTGGAAAAACTAGGATACAAAATTGGTCAGAGGAAGTCATAAGAGTTTTGGCAGTGCTTCACATCTTTCAGCTAGATTGCAGCAATGAATAGCCTCTGTATACATTTATAAAGGGAGTTAATGAGAGTGATGTTAAAAATAGCTGTTTGCTTCCTTTCTTCTGGACTCCCAAATGGCCTTTCTGGTCCTTTCCCTGCTGCACATGGATTAGCTCTTCCCCCATCTCCTATTACGGGTCTCTGTGGTGTTTATTGGCTCTGCTGAAAGTGTTCAGAGATGGATAATTTCATTGATCTTCATAAAGCTGAACCAGAAAGCAATGTGGCTGTTAACCACAAGTCATTGGATGTTCTCAAAGCTCTCCGACACCTGGATAACCTCCTGGGAACTTTCCTCGGGATGCTGTCATGGTTTCACTATCTTCCAAGTCTGTTAGTGTCTCTGCTAACCTTTTCTGATAAATTCCTTCGGAGGTGGTGACTGTCTAGAGCACCTGCAGTATCACCAACTATCTGAACCGTATGTTCTGCAAATGGCAGAAACACATACTTCCATCTCATAAGCACATAACTTGTAGAACCTTAAGGCACTGAATTTAATAATTACACCTATCCTACGGTCACAAGGCACATGCTGTATTCATCCCCCCTGGGCCAGCTTCTGAAGGGATATTTTTACAACAGAGATATGTTTGTCAGAAGTGTTGTGCATGCATTGGTGTCTTTCTGACCACGAAAATTTAGATTGTACACTCACTGCGGATCTCTGTGTGCAGCAACAGCTACACTTACGACAGGAGCAAAAAAGCACCCTGCAAGAGATCCAAATTGCTGGTGTGGTACTATTGCATGCATAATTACAGAAATCAATGGGTGGCAACTGCTTGCAAAACAATGCTGCCTCTCCTTTTTCATTCAACTCTATCTTCAAAAGCTACCTTTCCTGTGAGGTAGCTCCTTAGCTCCTGTGCCCTACTGCAGACTTCCCCTATCTAGTGTCCTCCAGATGTTTTGAACCCCAGCCAGCATGCATTCATAATGCATGCATTTATCAGTACATTTATAATTCTAGGAAGGTTTTGTTTTTGATGTGCTTTACCAAACCCACAGAGAGAAAGGGAGGGAGGGAGGGGGAGAGACAGAGGGAGAAGGGTACTAGCTTCCTTTCCATCCCAAACCCTCCCACTCCAAATGACTTTTTATCCAAAAACGAGACATTGCTTCTATAAGTGCCATGGAGCAGGACACTGAACACTCATCCTTACAGAAACCTCTGAGGTGGCTCCATAATCAAGGGCTAGGGAAGAGGATTTGGTCGAGGCTTCCATCTCACTAGGACGAAGTCTTGCAGAAGGCTCCCTGGGTCAGTTCCCTTGCACCAGGAGGTTGCCTGGCCATCCAAAAGCTCTACCTGTGATGACACATCCTACAATCATTCACATGCCATCATAGGATGAGGGTGCGAAAGCAGGACAGGTGCCTTTAAGAGACAAAACCTAAGTCAGTGCAGAGCTCAGTGCCTCAACCAGCCTAAACCCAGACAAGCCCAACTTTAAGCAGAGTCTGGATCTGCTCCTTGTTGGAGCAATACGCAGACAATCCAGTCTGGCTTCCAACCCCATCGAGCATTTTCTGTGGCTCTGATCTCTTTCTGTCTTGCTTTTTTGAGAAACCTGACCCCTGCTGAAGACCCTAGCAGAAATTTGAAAGCCAAGATCATCTGAACCCATAGCCAAGAATGGTATAATTCGTACAAGCAGGTCATTGTCAGATCAAGACTGTAATCTTAGGATCCCTGGAAGGCCCAGATAATGCTTTGGACTCCCTAGTCCCTCCATAGGTGGAAAAAATGTAGAGACTGATGGGGAATGGACAGTGGATGGTGTGGTAGCAGAAAAATGTGTAGCTGCTGCTGCTGACCCACGAGCCACGATGGAACATTCTTGAGTAAGTTGTGGAGGCCACGACCCTGCAGGATCTAAGCCCTACAGCATTTCCCCCAACAAGCCCCAAACCTGTTACAGAAAGTTTGAGGGGGAAAAGCTTGCAAAGAAACCAGTAAAGCATAAACAACACCCAGCCACAAGCTGGCAGGATTTGGATGCTGCGTCATGGAGCCCATCACCAGCCCCTCCTGGTACTTAGAACCGGTGTGCCCAATTGTTATTAAACATCTTCCTTTTTCTTTTCTAAGGGAATTGCTACTGCCTGCTTCAAGGGGTATTGTTTGAAAGTCCCTCTTCATTCGTTGCCTGACCTCTGTTGCAGAGACAGACAGCACCCGCAAAAGTCATTAAAAAAACCCCTCTTATTGCAGATGCGCAGCCGCAATAGTGAGTGAGCCTATCCAGCATATTGAAAAAAAACTGATCTGGGAACTAATCTGTCAGAAGAGAGAAGTCTTCAACTCCCTCTTGAAGGGAGCGGTCTGGGGTATCCAGCATAACTCTCCCAATGCTTTCTGGACAAGAATTTGGGTGTCAGAGATCTCTACACCGGACCTCATTGAAGGGCTGCTGTAATGCTGATGGGACTACCAATTGTAAATTAATTCCATGAGATGTAACCCATTTAAACCTTTGAAAGTGGTGCTATAAGCATATTAATTGCTGACCGAGACAAAGCCGTTCAGTCTTTCCAATTTAATCCCAGCCTGCAAAGCCTGCAAAGGGTTATCCAAATGCATTCTCCCTTACAGAAAAGTGATTACT